TGGTTAGCAGCAAGCTTCACCTTAGGATCTGATGGTGTGATGCACCCTTTAGCTTCCAAATATCCAGTATCTTTTAGCAATTCTAGTGCATACTTCCTTTGACAAACACTGATTCCATCTGCAGTCCTGTTTACCTCCATACCCAGGAAGTATTGTAGAGGTCCCAACAGCTTTATCTTGAACTCCTTGCTCAAAGCCTTTTTAATCTGTTCTATGTCCTTTGGTGCATCCCCACCTATGATTATATCATCTACATAAACCAACAACACCACAATTCTGCCATGTATCCATTTGGTGAAGAGAGAGTAATCTGAAGCTGACTGGGAAAAACCATTTTTCAGTAGAAACCTTGTTAGTCTTGCAAACCACTGTCTTGAGGCTTGCTTAAGGCCATACAGTGATTTCTTAAGCCTGCAAGCCATTCCCTTTGGATCAACACCCTGCAGATCAAGTCCCAGAGGTATTTTCATATACACCTCTTCTTCCAAATCTCCATGGAGAAATGCATTTGAAACATCTAGCTGTTCCAAAGTCCAGTTCTTGACAGATGCAACTGCCAAGAGTGCTTTTACTGAGTTGATTTTAGCTACTGGTGAAAAGGTGTCTAGGAAATCAATTCCATAGACTTGAGTATATCCTTTTGCAACCAGTCTAGCCTTAAACCTCTCTATAGTACCATCTGCTCTCCTTTTAATTTTAAATACCCACTTATATCCAATGGCCTTCTTGCCATCTGGTAACTTCACTATATCCCACGTTTGGTTTTGCTCTAAGGCACCAAGTTCCTCCTGCACTGCCCTGTTCTATACATCAGACTGCATTGCTTCATAATATGTGGATGGTTCAATCTGAGAAATGACACTCAGAGCAAATGCCCTGTCAGCAGCATTCAAGTGGTCCAAGTCAAGATATGTAGGGTGTTTAGATGCTGCTGCACATGATCCAAAGGATCCAAAACTGAGATTAGGATCCAGTTCACAATTTTCAAACCTAGCAGGTAACTTATGAGATCTCTGTGGCCTTACTGGAGGAGGTTCATAGTCCTATTGAGGTTCTAATTCTGTATCCATCTCATGGTGCTCTAGACTATAGGGTGAATCAGAAGCCATGGTGTGTTTAGATGCTGCTGCACATGATCCAAAGGCTCCAAAAACTGAGATTAGGATCCAGTTCACAATTTTCAAACCTAGCAGGTAACTTATGAGATCTTTGTGGCCTTACCGGAGGAGGTTCATAGTCCTGTTGAGGTTCTAATTCTGTATCCATCTCATGGTGCTCTGGACTATAGGGTGAATCAGAAGCCATGGTGTCATTATCCTCATCAGCCTCAGCTGCATCTGGAATAGGTATGGACTGGCCCCCATCAGCAGAGGGTGAGACAGGGGGTGAAGAAGGAATCAATAGAGCTGGAGTAGTAAAAGGGGGGGGGGGGAAGTAGATGAAGATGGTGGATCAGAAGTGGAAGGAGAGGCAGCTTCTTGTGATGGGGAGGGTGAATCATGTCTAAAGGGAAGAATAGATTCATGAAACACAACATCCCATGATACAAAAACTTGATTTGTTTGAATATCAAGTAGTTTGTAGCCTTTTAAACCAGCAGGGATACCTAGTAAGACACATTGTCTGGATCTAGCATCAAATTTGGTCCTGCCAGCAGCCACTGTACTTGCATACACTAAACAACCAAATACCCTTAGATTCCCTAAGAAAGGAGCTTTCTTATACAGAGCTTCATAGGGTGATATGTTCTGTAGAACAGGTGTGGGAAGCCTGTTAATAAGGTAAACTGCATGAAGGATGCAGTCACTCCAATACAACAGTGATATACCAGATTGAAACCTTAATGATCTGGCAACATTCAAGATGTGCTGATGTTTGCGTTCCACCCTAGCATTTTGCTCTGGGGTGTAAACACAAGACATCTGATGTTCTATCCCTTCTGCCATATAGTAATCACACATGTCAAACTCTTTACCCTGATCACTTCTCACTACCTTCACTGTTGTTCCAAACTGGTTCTTAACCAGTTGGCAGAACCCTTTAAACAGATCTCTTGCCTCACTTTTATGTTTCATCAGGTAAACCCACACAGCACGTGTACAATCATCAACCACAGTTAGGAAATAGACATAACCATCATAGGAAACAACAGACAATGGACCCTAAATGTCAATGTGAATTAACTGGAAAGGTTCTGTTGCATGACTGGTACTATGAGGAAATGGTTGTCTCTTGTGTTTAGATAGATGACAGACAGTATAATGTTTTGATTTGGAAATAGAAACAGTAGAATCTAGATTGTGCAACAAAGTTTGCCTATCACTACTAGGATGTCCTAATCTCCAATGCCATAGGTCAACTTGATGAGGTTGGAAGTTGTGGACACTGGAAGCTTGAGGGAAATGGACTGGATGTGTAGTAGAATGGTTGGCAAGACTGAGTTGATAGAGGCCTCTAGATTCTCTTGCTAAACCAATCGTCGTCTTGTTTAGTAGGTCCTGAATTTGGCAAAGATCAGAGTGGAAGTGTAAGGCTAGAGGAAGATCATGAGTAAGCCTACTGACAAAAACTAGATTGAAAGAAAAGCTGGGAACTAGGAGTACATTATACAAATGTAGTCCTATTGGAAGTCTAACAGTGCCTATGTGTGAGACTGGAACTTTAGTTGTGTTTGGAAGATGCACTTAAGTGTCCTGAACTTGCTTATGATCAACAAATAAAGCTAAAGAACAGGCTATGTGGTCTGAGGCACCTGTATCTAGGATCCAGAAAGTTGCTTTGTTGTTGCTATCTAGGTTTGATAAGGAAGAAATGACATATTTACCTGAATAGTTGAGAAAGGGTGGTAAATATTGTGACACAGAGAAAGCTTGGTGTCGAATGGAAGGGGAACTAGGAGGGGAAGGTGATGAATTTGGTACAGAAGGAGCACCAGCCTGCAACATGTACCTCAGTTTTGTCATTTCCTCAGGTGTAAATCCAAGTGTAGTTCGACTTACAGTGCTAGTTTCAGTGCTGTAATTAGCTTCAGTTTGACTATCACTCCCACTTGAACTCCCTTGAGAAACTGATCCAGCAAACCTTTGGTTTCCAGACTGTGATTTTCCTTCTTTCTCAGCAGCGTCTTTCTTCTTTTTCAATCTCTAGCATTCTTCTATGTAATGGTTATTGCGCTTGCAGAACCTACAGAACTTCTTCCCTTGTCCCTGGTCTTCCACTTCATTGTCACGGGTTCCTTCTCCTCCAACTGCTAGAGCAACAGACTGCCCCTTTTTAGTTCCACCATGTGCTTTCAGTTCTTGCTCATACTGCAATAAATCATCAACAACTATGGTGACTGTTGGCAGTGGTTTCAGCATAAAGAGCTGCTTCTTGATGATCTCATAATCTGGGTTTAGACCCCTGAGAAAACGAATCAAGTAATCTGTCTCTTGCTTCCTCTCAAATGCTTCTACTGCAGTGCAGGGATTGGTATTTCCTGGAAGACAGTTGCAGGCTACAATTGGGTTATACTCAGTATAATCATCTCACAGCCCCTTGATTTGGGTATAGTACTGGGTGATGGTAAGATTTCCCTGTTTGCACTTGTGAATCTCGTCTTCCAGGTTAATCAGTCTATTAGCATTCAACTGACCAAATCGTCTCTTAAGTTCATCCTATAGAACCTTAGCATTGTCATGCCTCATAACTGAACGCCTAATATCTTTGTTCACAGAGTTCAAAATCCAGGTGAGAACCACTGTGTTACATCCATCCCACAAATGGAATTGTGGATCTGTAATTGCTGGTCTGGGTAAAGACCCATCCACAAAACCCATTTTGTGCTTCGTTTTCAGAACATTTAACACAGATCTACTCCACATGCTGTAATTATTCCCATCCATCAACTCAGAAACTATGGGTAAGCTCAGATTCTCGTTTGGGTTTAGGTAGAGAGGGTTACCAAACATGATGACCTCAGGATTGGCCTGGCTTGTGTTGCCTTCACTTCCAAAAGACCCAAACTGCATATTGAGCGGATCTGTGACTCGTCATCCGCTGCCGGAGGTTGGCGGAGTGTTGGGTTGCAGCGTGCCCGACATTGCGGTGTCCCTTTAGAACTACCGCTCTGATACCATAAGAGAAACTTTGCAAGGGTTTTGGAAGGGTTGATCCTCTATCTCATTCGAGGTCACCCTGTTTCATTATATAGCTCAGCAGAAAACAAAGACAAAATGGATTACAGAGCACTGCCACTTGGCTGCTTTCCATTTGTCCATTTTAAAGTTTAAACAGTAATTAGAAACGGCTAACTGCCTCTTACACACAACTAATATAAAACGACGTAGTAATATTAAAACTCTCCTGAAACTCCAATGACAGCTGAAAACGTTTCTTCCTTCTCACACGTTTCGACCTGCCTTCTTCTCCTTCAATCCTTCTGCTATACTGCGCTCACATTTTCAAAATTTAGCGCGGTGACGAGGCAAAAATAACAAAAAAATCCTTTCGAGTTTTGAAAAAAGAATGAGCAAGCTGAGCGAGAGCGCTTCGGATTGAGTTCTTCAATAGAAAGCTCAACTCAAAGGCGGATTGGGTGGCTAGGTCCCGTGACAGGAATCAGCTGCCACCTGACTGGATCCATATCCTTGAGATTGTTGCTCCCCAATTGTAACCTTTGGTTTCTTCCACATCAAGTAATGAAAAAAGTGTCTTACTGTAAAAAAAAAAAAACTGCGAGCGAGAGCGCTTTGGAGAACTTGTGTATGTGGCAGGCAATAGCTAAAGCAATTGAAATGAAGTGGCGTCAACGGATGAGATGAAGTTGAAAAACGAAAAAGTGACTTCCTCTGCAGCAAGCCAAAAACAGCTACGGTAAATCCATTCGCGCTTGGTTACATTATGCCTTGAGAAGTCTGTGTTTTTTTTTCCTGGAAAACTGACGACCAAGTATGTGCAGCTGAAGGACTCGATCTCTTCTTTCCATGTTTTCCGAGTAACCACTCCGGCTACCAGTGCGTATGTGGAATTCAGTTATCAGAGCGCTTACACAGAATGGATTATCCTCTGAAGCTCTGGAGCTTTACTCCCGCATGCAAGAGCTTGAGGTCAGGCCTGATTCTTATACTTTCCCGTCGGTTATCAATGCTTCTGCAGCGTTATTGGATTCTGAAACGGGTTAGGGTTGTGCATGATCGGGCAGTGGAGATGATTTTTGGATCTGAATGGATATATATGCTAGGTTTGGTGATTTGGCCAAGGCCCGGAATGTGTTCGAGGAAATGCCTCGCAGAGATCTTGTGTCATGGACTAGCTTCGTTTCTGGGTATACTAGAAATGGGCACTGGGAGGAGGCTTTGGAGATTTTCGCGAGTTCAAAATGGTTGGTTGAAACCAGATACTTTTACTGTATCAAGTGTTCTGCCTGCCTGTGGTGGCTTGCTTGACATTGACGGTGAGGTGGTCCATGGGTTGGTTGAGAAGATGGGGATGAAAGCTGGCGTTATAGTGAACAATGGATATTTTTCTATGTATTTTAAGTTTGATCAATTGGTGGATACGCAAAGGATATTTGATGAAATGGTCACAACGGATACTGTTAGTTAGAACATCTTGATTTGTGGATATTCTGAAATGCAGTTGTTTGTATAGTCGATCAAGTTCTTCATGGAGATGTTTCATATGTTTAGACCGGATTTGTTGACAATCACTAGCGTTCTCGGTCCCTGTGGTCAATTAAAGGACTTGGGACTAGCAAAATTCGTTCATAATTATATGAAGGATAATGGTATTGAATGTGATGTCACTGCTACTAACGTACTTAATGATACCTATGCAAACTGTGGTGATACTTCGGCGTCAAGGGGAGTATTCAATGCATTGTGATGCAAGGATTCCATTTCGTGGAACTCTACGATAAGTGCTTACATTCAGAATATCAGTTATGGTGAAGGGATGAAAGTCTTCAAAATGATGAAGAAGGAACTTAAGCCTGCTTCTGTTACTTGTATAATGATATTGTTAATGTTTGCTAAAGCAGCTGATTTGGACCTTGGGAAGCAAGTCCACTGTGCTGTGGCTAAATTAGGTTTTGACTCGGATCTGGTTGTTGAGAATGCATTGCTTGATATCTATGCGAAGTGTTGGAGAATGGATGATTCGCTCGCGCTTTTCAGGAGCACGAGAAATCGGAAAGTGGTGTCATGGAACACCATCATTGTAGCACGTGGGCAAGGAGAAGACTCTATCTTAGCATTCCGGATGATAAACCAGATGGTGAGTGACAATTTAATGTCAGATACAACGACAATGTAAGTTGTATTGCCGTATGGTCCTTGCTAGCTGCCAAACGGCAAGGCAAAGAAATTCGTGCTTCAGTATGAAGTTAGGATTTAAATGAAACGTTTCAATTGGGAACACACTGGTTGAAATGTACTCCAAGTGTGGTAATCTAAGTTATGCAGTTAAAGTTTTTCAGCACATGAAAGCAAAAGATGTTGTGACCTGGATTTCGTTTGATATCAGCATGTGGGATGCACGGTGAAGGAAAGAAAGCACTGAGAGTTTTCACGGAAATGAAAAAAGCTCATGTAGCTCCTGATCATTTGTAGCCATCCTCTATGCATGTAGCCATTCAGGTTTTGTAAATGAGGGTCTCGCTTGTTTTTACCAGATAGAGAAGGATTATGACATTGAGCCAAGAATTGAACATTATGCTTGTGTCGTTGATCTTCTGTCTCGATCTGGGAAGTTATCTAGAGCCGAACTCTTCATCAGTTCTATGCCAGTGAAGCCAGACGTAAACATATGGGGAGCTTTACTTGGTGCCTGCAGAGCATGTGGAGAAACAAAGATTGTGGAACGTTTGTCACAGCATATTATGGAATTAGAATTGGATGATCCTGGCTATTATGTTCTAGCATCCAATGTTGTTGCTGGTTTTGGTAAGCGGGGCAGGTAAAAGTTATACGAAAATCCGAAGAAGCCCAATGATAGAAACTAGAAATGTGAATTAGGGATTGGGAGAGAAGAAATTAGGGATTCAAGAGATTGGGGAAGAACAAGAGAGAAAGAGGGATTAGGGATTTGGGAATTCTTTGATTATTATTGCCTAATCTGAAAAGTACGTTGCTGAACCCTTAAATAGGAGTTCTGAAGAACATAAAATAACAAATATGCCACTGGTGGCCCGACCCCCTTCACCCAACCTGCTAGGGCGGGTTTCTATCATCCCTTCCCTCTTCAGAACCGACCTTGCCCTCAAGGTCTAACGTAGGGTACTTCTCACGCAGCATCGCAGTCTCCTCCCAAGTTGCGTCCTCCGGCTCGACATGCCTCCACTGGACCAAGCTTTCTTCGATGAGTCGGCCCTTCTTCTTGGTCCAGCGTGTCTCTACCACCCGCAAAGGAGTCAGCTCCAAGTCTCCATCTGCATTAACCGGGGGTGCAGTAGTCTCCACTCGATCCGCCGTGCCCTTGTAGCGCTTTAACAAGGAAATGTGGAATGTCGGATGGATACGGGCATCTGCCGGCAGCTGCAATCGGTAAGCCACTGGGTTGACCTTCTGCAGAATCTCATAGGGCCCAAAGTATCGAGCGGCCAGCTTCTGATAAGCTCGTCTGAACACGGTCGCTTGTCTGTAGGGGTGCAATCGCAGCAGCACCAGGTCCCCTACCTCGAACTCTTCCTCGCGCCTACCCGAGTCCGCCAACTACTTCATCCGGTTGTTGGCAGTAGCCAGGTTAGCCCTTAACTGTCCTATGGCTTCATCCCGGTTACCCAACCACCTGTCGACCGAATCGACCGAGCTACTCCCATTCCGGTACCGCACCAGAGATGGAGGTGGCCTTCCGTACAGCGCCTCGAATGGTGTGGTCCCTATAGCTCGATGGTATGTGGTGTTATACCACAACTCAGCCCACGGAACCATGGCCAACCAACTCCTCGGCTGCTGGTGTGTGAAACAGCGGAGATACTGCTCCAGGTGCCGGTTAATCACCTCTGTCTGACCGTCCGTCTAGGGATGGTACGCTGAACTCATCCGTAGTGCCGTCCGGGCCATGGTGAACACCTCCTGCCAGAAGTGATTGAGGAAGATAGGGTCCCGATCACTGACAATCGTCCTGGGAAACCCGTGGTGTCGCACCACCCCGCTCACGAACTGCTCAGCTACTCCTCGCGCCGTGTATGGGTGAGCTAGGGGCATGAAGTGAGCATATTTCGTGAGCCGATCCACCACCACGAACAACACCGTCTTCCCTCCTGAAGGCGGCAAGCCCACGATAAAATCCATGCTGATGTCTTCCCAAACCCGCTCCGGCACTGGTAATGGCTGCATCAGCCCGGCCGGTCGCAGTTGCGAAACCTTCACCCTCTGACAGGTATCGCAGGAAGCCACGTAATCCTTAACCGCCTGACCCATCTTAGGCCAGTAAAAATGTTCCCTGACCCGACGTAGGGTCCGCTCTACCCCCGAATGGCTGCCGAAGGGTGCATCGTGGAACTCCTGTAGGATAGTAGTGACCAATGAGGATCCTGGTGGGAGGACCATGCGCCCTTTGAAGAACACCAGACCCCCGCGGAATGTGTAGTTCCCCGGCTCCTCACTCACTGCAATGTCTCGACACTCCTGCAGGTACGGATCTGTCTCTGTGAGAGCCCGCAGCTCATCCCAAAACTGTGGTACAGGCCCGGTCACTGCCGCCAATACCTCTCCACCCTGACACCGCGACAGGCTGTCGGCCACGACGTTGGTAGAGCCTGGCCGGTAGTGAATCTCATAATCGTATCCCAGCAACTTCGAGACCCACTTGTGCTGATCTGGCGTCGAGAACTTCTGGCTCAAGAGATGCTTCCGGCTCTGGTGGTCCGTGTATATGTGGAACTTGTGTCCCAGTAGGTACGGCCTCCATGCCTGAACTGCAGAGATGATGGCATGCATCTCCTTCTTGTAAGTCGACCAAGCCTCTTTGGTCGGTGCTAGGGTCCGACTCATGAAGGCGATCGGATGTCGGTCCTGAGATAGTACTGCTCCAATTCCCCGCCCCGATGCATCGGCTTCGATCACGAACGGTTTGGAGAAGTCTGGCATCGCTAGCGTCGGGGTTGTCGTCATGGCCCGCTTTAGATCCAGAAATGCTTGCTCAGCCGTCGGGGTCCACTCAAACCCTCCCTTCTTCAGTAGGTTGGTCAACGGTCTCGCAATCATATTGTACCCCTGCACAAATTTCCTGTAGTAACCGGTCAAGCCCAAGAACCCGCGCAACTTTGTTACATTGGTCGGCACTGGCCACTCAACCATAGCTCGAACCTTGGACTGATCCACCTGTACCCCCTGCGGCGTCACTATGTGGCCCAAATACTCCACCTCCTGAACTCCAAATGCACATTTAGAAGCTTTGATGTAGTACTGGTGCTTCTTCAGTATTTCAAATACAGCCTGTAAATGGCGCATGTGGTCCTCCCAACTCGGACTGTATACTAGAATATCATCAAAAACACCAGGACATACCGTCGCAGCAGAGGTCGGAATATGTCATTCATGGCCGCATGGAATGTGGACGGGGCGTTACATAACCCAAACGGCATCACTAAGTACTCGTAGTGCCCGTTATGCGTCCTGAAGGAAGTCTTGTGCGTGTCTTCCTCCTGCATCCGGATCTGGTGATACCCGGCCCTCAAATCCAACTTGGTGAAGTAGGCCGCCCCGTGTAGCTCATCCAACATGTCATCTACTGTCGGGATGGGGAACCTGTCCTTCACTGTTGCGTCATTGAGAGCTCGATAGTCGGTGCAGAACCTCCAAGTTCCATCCTTCTTCTTGACCAACAAGACTGGTGAAGAGAAAGGGCTGGTGCTCGGCCGGATCAGTCCGGTCTCCAACATCTCTGACACCTGTCTCTCGATTTCCTCCTTCTGTGAGTGTCCATAATGGTAAGGTCAACATTCACTGCTTCCACCCCCTCCTTTAACTGAATCCGGTGGTCCACCTCTTGATGTGGAGGAAGTGTAGTCGGGCTTTGGAACAGCTCCAGGTACCTATCCAATAACCCTTGTAGCTCGGCGCTGATCTCTGTCTTCGCCGTCTCGGCCAGCGGCCAACAAAGCACGGCCAGATCGGCCTCCCCTCCCGGCGCGCATTCCCGAATGGAGATGGGCCCTATCGCCGCCGTGAGCCCTTGCAAGGTCCACTCCTTATCCCTCCACTTGAAACACATGGTCAAACTTCTCCAATCGCTAATTACCGGACCCAAGCTTCTCAACCACGGTATCCCGAGGATCACATCGAACCCCCTGATTGGCAGCACATACAAGTCGGCCGTGATGTCTAACCCCTGAACAGTGAGAGTCATACCTCGGTACACCTGCCTGCACCCCATGGGTACTCCATTTGCGACTTTGACGGTGATCGAGTTGACCGCAGTGGGCTCCTGGCTCAATGTCTTGGCTAACTCCAGGCTGATGAAGTTGAGAGACGCGCCACTGTCGACTAAGGTCATGGTTGTCCGTCCCTCCACTGCTGCCCGGAACCGCAGCGTCCCCGGCGAAGCTTGCCCCGCCACGGAGTGCAGCGAAACTACGGCCGGTTCCTCCTGCCGTGCGTCGCGATAGGCCTCGGCCCCTCCGCGCTCGGTCTCAACCCCGCCGCGCTCCGCCTCAGGCCCGCCCCGCTCCTTCTCGGGCCCGCCATCTCTCGCGCGCGCGGTTGGCCGCGATGACAAGGGTGGCGCTGGGGTGCCGCTTCCTTCCTTCTTCGCTACCCTCAGCCGAGCCTCCTGCTCCCGTCGGTCCAACGTCTGACGCAGCAGCTCCTGTAGTTGAGTCCATTCATAATCATATAGCTGTGACGAGCTCATGCTGGCTCTGATACCAGATGATAGAAACTAGAAATCTGAATTAGATGGGAGAGAAGAAATTAGGGATTCAAGAGATTGGGGAAGAACAAGGGAGAAAGAGGGATTAGGGATTTGGGAATTCTTTGATTATTATTGCCTAATCTACGTTGCTGAACCCTTAAATAGGAGTTCTGAAGAACATAAAATAACAAATATGCCACTGGTGGCCCGACCCCCTTCACCCAACCCGCTAGGGCGGGTTTCTATCACCCAAGGACTGAAAAATGAGCTGGGCCATAATTGGAATGATACCAGAAACAAGGTTTTTGCATTTGGATCTGCTGATAAATTCTCTGAACATTACCAAGAGATTAGCAACTTATTAGAGGAACTTGGTAGTTTGATGTCGAAAGAAAGGTATGCTGCTAATGTGCAATATGCTTGCATGACATTGAGGAGGATGAAAAGAGAGACTGGCTTTGTGGGCATAGTGAGAGGTTTGCCATAGCTTTTAGGCTATTGAAGATGGATCCAAGGATCCACTTCCAGGTCACAGGTGATGAAGAACCTTCGTGTTGGTAGGGATTGTCACACTTGAACTAAGTACACGTCAATGATTATGAAGAGAGAAATGTTTATGAGAAATGCTAACCGATTTCATTTGTTCAGAGATGTGTCATATAGTTGTGGAGACTACTGGTAGGGCAGCTGGATATTTGTTTCTTTTCACCTTTGAAGACTGTTGTAGTATTTCGAGGACTAAAGCAGTTTCTTTCATGGGGTGATTATACTTCAGATCATTTTCTTAAGATAAGCATTGCTACTTATGTAGGACTACATCATTGCTCATTAATGACAATTCATGCTGTTCCAGTCTCAGACCTTGCTGACTATAAAATTCTACTCTTGGTATATTTGCCAGAACTATCGATTTCATGCTTCCCCAGCAACTAGATTCGCAAGTGCATTAAAGCTGCATGAATGGGCAATGGAATGCAGAAGCAGAGAAGTGGTTTGAAGCATGAAGAAGACACAGGTAGTTTCTTGAACCAGTGTCGATCTTTTATATGGAAATTACAACATCTGTAAACAAACATTTGACAAGGAGGAGAGGGAAAACTCTTGTGTATGTTCTACAGAAACTTTAATCCATGACTTCATCAATTCTAACAAATCGGCCTCCTCATGGAATGTTGTGCTGTGACCCCACTAGCTACTGATGATATCCATCCATCCTGCAAATCCACACAGCGGGAGCTTTTCCCCCTTTAGCTCATTTTGCAGCCAGAAAGTTAAGGTTTTTCAAGGACCTTGATCTGCCAAGCAAGTCTATTCAGCTTTTAATAAGACAAATGTAAAAGGTATTCTTGACATCTCCTAGCTTGTAGAGTTTCATTCACTGTTCAATATAATTTCCTCAAATCGTAAAACATTATCTCTAGCACCAACCCATCATGTACCAAATTGCAGAATGGAAAGATCAGATACTTCTCACTCGCTATTCAGAAAGTTCACCTCAGTTCTACTTCACACACAAGAAATTCAGAGTAATTTCAAATGCATTTGAGGTAATTGATGAAAGATCTTACATTTTGTTGTTTTAGATGGTTTCGAGACTTCGAATTTGTGCACTTTTGTTTGATTTTTGCTTATACAACAGATTCTGAGTACTTCTAGAATTTGAATGTCCAACTTGCATTATTAAAAAAAATGCGGTTTCGGCAAGAAGTGGTAATATTAAATATCTTGCTATGGTATTGGTGATTAATTAAAAAATTATACTTGCAAGTAACTGGCAGATAGTTGGCAGGAGAGATTTTCTATTTTCCTCTCCTGAAAATTGGGTTTCTTTTATGCCAAGATGCTGCCCAACTCAGATTTTTTTTTATGAATGATTTTGTATTTGTATTAATGAACTGTTGGTTGCTCTTAAAAATTAAGAGCTCATCTTACGTGAGGTACAACTGGCTATAATCTGAGAGACTATTACAACAATTGACGAATGCGAATTCTCAGGTTATGTCGGAAGAAGATGGGATTACATAGCCAAACAACCTAGTTAGTAGTAGTGTCTCCTGCAGATTCATATCACCTTTGGCCACATTACAATTTATGCAGTTGTTGACTACTTTGTGTATGACCCGATCCCATGTGCAGCTGATATCTTTAAAAGTTCTTGAATTTTGCTCTAGCCATATGCTCCAAATGATGGAGTGAGGCAGCACGCTAACAAACTGTGAAAAATTTGTACCTTTAGTACAGTGGCTCCATTGGTGGAGTAGATCAGCACAAGTTGAAGGGATGACTCCTGTGATGTTGAGTTTGCAGAAAAAGTAATTCCATATACTGCTCGCGAAGTTGCAGTGTGGAAGAATATGGCTTACACTTTCAGCAGCCTGTAAGCATAGGCAGCAACCGTTTGGTAGTTGCCAACCCCTTTGTTGCAGTCGGTCAAGTGTGAGAATCTTCTCCTGATAAACCAGCCAAGTAAAAGCACATATCTTGCTAGGAATAGTAGTCATCCATACGATCGTAGAGGGAAAAGTAGGTCCAAGTCCTATGAATTTCTCACTAGCAAGTTGCTTGTAGAAACTACGAACCTCGAATTTGTCCCCAGGCAGCAATGCAAGTAATTTGTCTTGATCTCCAGAGAATCAAGTGCACGAGATGTTATTCAAGATGTTGTTGAAAGACTGCAAAGATGCTTGGGCAGCCCCACGAAAGGTTACTGAGAATTCAGTTGCCCAATAAATCCTGCCATCTTCAATGTGTGACATATCGTTGAGTGTGGCATACTTGTTGGTTGCAGCTGAGAATAGATTAGGGAAACTGTGGGCAAAAGTATGGTCCGGGATCCATTTATCTAGCCAAAATGAAATCGAAGAGCCATCTCCAGGGCGGATGACAACATATTTCCAAAAGTTCACTCCAATGCTTACAATAAGCTTCCAAATTGATTTCCAAAAGATATTTCCAAAATCTTCTAATAATCTTCTCCATTTTTTCAATAATATGTGTAGGGGCAAGTAATAGTGAAAGATAGTAGATGCACATACTTGTGAGTGTGCTCTTGATTAGGACTATTTTACCTCCCAATGAAAGTAATCTTCCTTTCCACGAAGAAAGTCGTTTAGTTAGGGAATCAAGAACAGGTTTCCATGTCGTCTCGGATTTAGGACTAGCACCCAAAGGAAGTCCCAAATATGTTGTTGGAAGGCTACCCACTTTGCAGCCAAATGATCTTGCGAGTTCATCAATATTCTCTACATTGCCGACTGGTAGTAGTGTGGATTTTGACAAGTTGATCTTCAAACCTGAGATGACTTGGAAGCATAATAGAGCTGCCCTCATATGTATAATTTGGTCCAGGCTGGCATCACAAAAGATTAAGGTATCATCCGCATACAAGAGATGAGTTACTTGACCAGCATGGGAGGTTGCATTCATGGTGAAACCGTTTATCAGTCCTGCTGCCTGCTGTCTGTCCAATATAAGATAAAGGCATTCCATAACCATAATGAACATAAAGGGGAGTAATGGGTCCCCTTGTCGTAGGCCACGGTGGTTCCGGAAGTACCCTTCAGCCTGACCATTCACTAATGCTGAAAATTGTGGAGTGGTAACACATGTATGTAGCCATGATATCCACCGAGTCCCGAAACCCATTTGCTGGATTGTAGTAAACAAGAAGTTCCAATTGACATGATCAAAATCTTTCTCTATGTCAAGTTTTAGAATGACACCCGATATTTGACTTCTGCTGCGCAAGTCAATCAACTCATTTGCTATTAGAGATGCATCAAGAATTTGCCGTCCATGAATGAAGGCCATTTGAGAGTTGGATATAAGCTTGCCCATATGCTGCTTTAGCCTTAACATCAGAATTTTGGTCAAGATTTTGTAGAAACTGCCCACCAAACTAATAGGGCGTATGTCCCCGATGTCTTCCACCGCTTCACTTTTGGGAATGAGAGCAATAAAGCTGCTGTTGACCGCTCTTGGTAAACACCCTGTAGCCTGGAAGTCTAATAGGGCAACCCTTAAATCACCTTTCAATATAGGCCAACAATGTAGATAGAAAGAAGTATTGAACCCTAGGGCTGCTAAATGGTACGGTAACCGGTTTACCGTTTTACCGGTTTCGGTATTACCGGAACTCCCTAAAAGGCCGCCGACCGCCGATATCGATCTCCAACCGGTATGCCGATTACCGATTCACCATGGTATCGGTAAGGGAAGTGCATCCCGAGTTACCGACAGAACTGTCCCTGGCGGCCTGGCTTGTCCGGCTGTCCCTCTGACTCCCTGTCACCGCCCCAATTCCCCAAATATCACCCCATTGCGGCCAAGTGGCCAACCATTCCAAAATCCAAATGGTCAATTAAATTGAAAATAATAAAAAACCCAATTACCCAAATGTCAATACTCAATTGTCAAATACTCAAATCAAATGTCAATAGTATTGTAAATTTGGGGGCACAAAGCCACAATGGGCAGTCGGCTAATTAATTAAAAAAAAAACAAAATCTAACAAGTAAATTCCAAACATCAAATTGAAAAATGAAAATACTAAAAAAATAAGATTAAATATAGCATTATAGTTGTACGTAGTACATAGAATTCCAAATAAAGCAAATAGAGCAATCTGGTCTGCTGCTTCTAAATGTTTAAATTAAATTCGAAGACATGAAGATAAAAAATAGAATTAATAGTTCCTCACTTGCCACTAGGACATGTACCACCAACATCAACAAAACCTTGCTGCTTCAAAGTGGTGCGAAGGTTATCATCACCATTATTCTCCTCGTCCTGGTCCTCCTCATCCTCGTCTAAATCTTCCTCCTCTTCCTCCTCCACCACAACAGGTAAACTTTGTTTGACACCTGCACTTAGCTTGGCAGTAGCACTCTCCATTCGAGTTTGGAAGTTAGTAGTGACTAACTGTAAAAAAAAAATACAAATTGTTAGAACTTAGAATTCATCTAATAATATGTAATCAGAAACTGAGTAATGGAAAACTTAAAAATAAATGAAATTAAGAATTCTTACCACTTTCATAATCGATTTGGTCTTGATTTTCATATTCTGTATCATCAACTTTGTCTGCTTTCTTTCCTCCTTCATACCTTATCCAATCTTCAGCACAAATCAAGGCCTCTACAATGGTGGGGCTCAACGAAGACCTAAACGGACTGAGCACTCGACCTCCACAACTGAAAGCAGCCTCTGAGGCAACAGAGGAGACTGGAACAGCTAGGATATCCTTAACCATCTGGGAAAGAATAGGATATCTAACGCTGTTCTTACTCCACCACAGCAAGATGTCAAACTTCATATCATTATCATCCTCGTTAATAGCATCATCAACATCTCTTAAGTAGATGTCTAGCTCAGAAGAACCTCGAATCCCCCTCTGTAGTTGCTCCTTTCTCATCTTGAAGAATTCAACATCAAATGTCCCTCCATAAGATGCAGATCCAGTACCATCATCAGCACTAAGAGTGGTAACAGTAGGCTCTGAGGGTTGAGGTGCATACTTCAATCTGTAAACCTCAAACATTGCAGTCATCTCTGCAGTCACATCTTTCACCAAATCGTCTATTTTCTTTTGCCCATACATCTTACCCCACATCCAATACAAATAAGTCATTTTACGCCTAGGATCTAGCACACAAGCCATGTAAACCAGCCTATTTATCCTTA